TTGGCCCCAAAAATGAGGCATTTGGCCCCAAAAGTGAGGAGTTTGGCCCCAAAAATGAGGGGTTTGGCCCAAAAACTGGGGGATTTGGCCCCAAAAATGAGGCATTTGGCCCCAAAAGTGAGGAGTTTGGCCCCAAAAATGAGGGGTTTGGCCCAAAAACTGGGGGATTTGGCCCCAAAAATGAGGCATTTGGCCCCAAAAGTGAGGAGTTTGGCCCCAAAAATGAGGGGTTTGGCCCAAAAACTGGGGGATTTGGCCCCAAAAATGAGGCATTTGGCCCCAAAAGTGAGGAGTTTGGCCCCAAAAATGAGGGGTTTGGCCCAAAAACTGGGGGATTTGGCCCCAAAAATGAGGCATTTGGCCCCAAAAGTGAGGAGTTTGGCCCCAAAAATGAGGGGTTTGGCCCAAAAACTGGGGGATTTGGCCCCAAAAATGAGGCATTTGGCCCCAAAAGTGAGGAGTTTGGCCCCAAAAATGAGGGGTTTGGCCCAAAAACTGGGGGATTTGGCCCCAAAAATGAGGCATTTGGCCCCAAAAGTGAGGAGTTTGGCCCCAAAAATGAGGGGTTTGGCCTCAAAAATGAGGGGTTGGACCCTAAAAGTGAGGGGTTTGGCCCCAAAAGTGAGGGGTTTGGCTCCAAAATGGGAGCCTGGGCCCTAAAAATAAGGGGTTTAGCCCTAAAAATGAGGGATTTGGCCCTAAAAATGAGGGTATGAAGCCTAAAAATGCAGCTTTAGGCCCTTAAAATGGGGGGTTTGGCCCCAAAACCGAGGCTTTGGAGCTGATAAATGAAGCTTTGGACACAAAAAGGGAGGTTTGGGGGCGAAAAGTGAGGAACAAGACCCCAAAAGGGAGGATTTGGGCCCAAAAAGGGAGGATTTGGACCCAAAAGGGAGGCTTTGGACCCCAAAAGGGAGGATTTGGACCCAAAAAGGGAGGCTTTGGACCCAAAAAGGGAGGATTTGGACCCAAAAATGGAGGCTTTGGACCCAAAAAGTGAGGATTTGGACCCAAAAAGTGAGGCTTTGGACCCAAAAAGTGAGGATTTGGACCCAAAAAGGGAGGCTTTGGACCCAAAAACGGAGGATTTGGAGCAAAAAAGTGAGGATTTGGACCCAAAA